GTTTTCACCTTTCAGAAGCAGACCACCAGGCCCTTCTGAGATGCCTCTGCTTGGGTTTGAATCATGAAACTTTGTTTATAGCCTTAGGCTTAACCATCTGCATGTCCAGAAACTTCTTATATTACACTAATATGTTAAAAACAGGAAACTAAGGGGACAGTGTGATATAGAGAAATTATATTATCTCAACAATTTTTCTTTAAAACTAAAACAATTCTGTTTCAGTATAAATGTCCTATTTCATTCCCTGCTACTTTAGTTACTCATGAGCACAGGAAAAAGAATAGAGTACAGAAAGGAAAGGCAAAATTGAAACTATGAACAGGGGCAAGAAGTCAAGCCCAAGGTCAAAGTGAGTCCAGACCAATCAAGCAACCAAGTTCAGTTTGCGTTTCTCACATGCTCTGATACAGATTTGCAAATTCCTTTAGACCCTCACCCTTAGAATTCTCATCAATTAACTATGTAGAGAGGGAGTTCTAGTGATCTCCTAGCAAGGCGCTGCGCAGCCAACCCGAAGACATGCAGTTCAAATCAGCAAGACACAGAAAGAAGGGCCACCTCCTCTTATGCAAGTTAATGCCTCTGAAAATCTGCTATATAGTTAGCTTAGTCTGTTCTGAGTCGATGGTATATAATAACAACTATATATAGACTAGGAAGCTCTGGTGGCCTAGTGGCAAGAGGCTGCACTGCAATCCCGAAGGCATGTGGTTCAAGGATACCAGTTGGTCCACGGTAAAAGAATGGGCTATTTCCTCCTGTAGGATTAGCTGCCTCTGAAAACCCACCTCTGAGGGGTCAGAGGGTCAGTTATGGTTGGTTTCAACTCTATGGTACAAAACAACAATATATAAACTTTTCCACCAAGAATTATTACCCAAAAGAAAAAAAAATCATGTAAAAAACAATATTCAGATTAACTTTTTAAGACTGAAAAGAAAGTTTTTTTGTGTTGTTATGTTCCATCGTGTTGAAACCAACTCAGAGCTGACCCGCCAGTGGGTTCTCAGAGGCTGTAAATCCCATAGAAAGAAACCACCTATCTTTCTCCCTCAGAGCAGCTGGTGGATTGAAATCACTTGTCACTGGGTGGGCAGTACAATGCCTTATCCTCTAGGCTACCAGAGCTCCCTGATTTTATGTATTGTTATTGTTGTTGTGTACCACTCAGTTGGAATGAATCCACAGCTGACCCTCCAGTGGGTTTTCAGAGGCAGTGAATCGCACAGGAGGAGACTGCCCATCTCTATCCCGTGGAGCAGCTGGTGGATTTGATGACCTTTACAAAGATATAGGCTTATATAGACTTGTAAATAATAATAATTAAAAAAATAATTGTTGTTGTTAGGTGCCATCGAGTCGCTTGCGACTCATAGTGACCCTATGTACAAGAGCTCTAAATGCTGTTCTATCCTGTGCCAACCTAGCCATCTCAAACGCACTTATTCCCACCACTCCAGTCACAGAATCAATCCATCTGACCAAAGGTCTTCCTCTCCTTCGCTTCCCCTCCACTCTGCCAAACATGATGTCCCTTTCCAAGGACCAGTCCCTCCTTGCAACATGCCCAAAATATGTCAGACGAAGCTTCCGAATCCTTGACTCCAGGGAACACTCTGGCTTCACCCTCTCCAGGACAAACCTGTTTGTTCTCCTAGCAGTCCATGGTATATTCAACATTCTTCTCCAGCACCACAGCTCAAAGGCAATTACTATTATTAAAAAAATCTGGTGTTACCCAAGAACTTGGAAACAGCCCAAATGTCCAACCACAAACGATGGATTGAGAAATTACGGTACTTTCACACAATGGACTATTATGCAGCATGCAGGAGCAATAACTTTGTAAATTATTACCTGACTTGGGAGGGACTAGAGAGCATTATGCTGAGTGAACTAACTCAGTCCCACAAGCACAAATATTGTATAAAACTGTTACTGTAGAATGAGTATAAAAATCCAGGAGGGTTGGGAGAGGCTGGAAGCAGAGGAATGAAGATATGCAGGGGAAGGTGAGGATTAACTATGGAGAGGGAGGTGAGGGAAATTGAAAGAATTTTTCAAATTTGTATTCGAGTTTTGTAAATAAACTAGTAGGAAAAAATATTCAAAAGTCAGTAACAGTGAAACAAACAAAAAATCTAGTGTGGCAGGTCACTCTCTTTGCCATTTTTAAATACGTATTTGCTAATTACTATTTTGCTAATAACTAAGAATGTATTGTCACTGTGTTGGAATTTACACATAGCTATTGGGTTTCTGAGGCTGTAAATCACATGAAAGGAGTCTGACCATCTTTCTCCTGAGGATCCTGTGGATTTGAACTGACATAAGATGCAGCTTTTGCATTAACAGCACAACTTCCAGAATTCTCCATTACGCCAATCCACATTAAATAAGAAATCTCAATTAAGATCGTAAACAAAAGTGAAAAGAAACCTTAGTACTCTACAGCCCTGCAGGGTACTCTGAATTGCATCTGAAGTAATCTCTCAATGGGATCTTTTAGAGACCCAGAAAGAGTACCCTAGTGTTTACTGCACACAAAGAGAAAAAGTAAGCCCTATATTTGTGCAAACAAATAACAGGGGATAGTAGGAACGGCCCTTCTTTGTAAAGGTTTCCCGTATTTCCTTAAGAAAACAGTCAAGGTTTCTACCTTACAGAAAGAGATTTACATTCTCCAGTTATCTTCAGCTTGAAGGTAACAGAGTAAACTAAGAGGGGAGGGGAAAATTCATCTAAACAGCTGTAAACACAAACTAAAGCAATCCACGGCATCTTGGGAGCCTGAAATTTGGTTGTTCTCTCGCACAATCAACTGCCTCTCAGCAGGGTAGGACCCTACACTATTGCAATAATTTACATAAGAAATTAACATATTTACATCCGAATGGTGACCTCCTCCATTCCCCAGCAGCATGACAGGTGTTAAGTATCTGCTTATCTAAATTACCTCTAAAAATAGCTTTACCTTCCTTTAAGTCTTAGATAAATAGATTTCTCACCAAGTGATGGTGGTATGTAGAAGCATGAGGAGGCATTAAATTGCTCTGCTTCAGTGCCAGTTTATGGGGGCTTCCTCTTCTGAGTGCAAAGACTTGGAAACCATCTTAGAACAAGGCAGAACGGAAAACTAGAATTTGGACAAACTATATACTATCAAATTATAAACTGTATCTTTTGTTCTAAATGTCCATCTCCAGGTAAATTAGAGACAAGTAATAAATACAGAATTATAAAGAACTAAAGTGGCTGATGAACAAATCTAAGTGTAGCACTAGTGCTCTTTAGAGCTAAGAGGGCGTAGTGTTCAGAAGCTGGGCTGCCAACCCAAAGGCATGTGGTTCGGATCCACCAGGTGCGCTGAGAGAGACAGGTGGGTACTCTCTTCCCAAGTGTTTCCTCTGAAAATACTCTGAAGGGTCCACCTATGAGTTAGTTGCGACTCGATGGCACATAACAACACAACAGTGCTCTTTGGGATGATTTAGGGCTTGAGTCTTGTGTTTGAGTTGTTTGCTGTCAGAAAAATAGAATTTCCAAGTTGTTTGGTGTTGTTTTTATCTTCAAAATAATTAATGATCACTTGGGAATTCCCTATGCTTTATAGAATTTCTGCAGTTAAGAGTAGTATTCTCATGTTTTAAAATTCAAGTCCGGTTTGTTGTTTAATATTGCACTGCCAACACAAAGGTTGTTGTTGTCGCTGTAGTTGTTATGTGCCATTGAGTTGCTTGCGACTCATAGCGACCCTACGTACAACAAACACAAAGGTATACAGTTCAAATTCACGAACTGCTCTGTGGGAAAAAGATGGACACTCTCCTGTGCAACTTAACTGCCTCTTAAAAACCACTTGGAGGGTCAGCTACGGATCAGCTCTAACTCAAAGATACATGATGACAACATACATTGAGTTTATATCATGGTGTTTATTCAATGTTTTTCCATACCCGTTTATCAATAAGATCCTAAAAGGAGCCCTGGTGATGCAATGGATTCAAGGTTGAGCTACTAACGGAAAGGTTGGCAGTCTGAACCCACCAGCCACTTGCAGGAGCAGGATGTGGCAATATGTCTCTGTAAACACATACAGCCTTGGAAACCCTACGGGGCAGTCCTACTCTGTCTTACAGGGTAAATATGAGTCAGAACAGATTCAACAGCAGTTATTATTATTAAAGATACTCTAAAAGGTGGACTGACACAGCGACTGTAGCAATGAGCTCAAGTGTGTCAGAGATTGTGAGGATGGTAAAGGATAGGACAGGGCTCAGATTCACTATTTACAGGGTTAGCATGGGTCATACTCGCCTTGACAGCACATAGCAACAACAACAGGCAAATAAAAAACATACCTAAATTAAACAACAACAAAAATCAAACCTACTGCCATCAGTCAGTTCTGACTCGGCAAATCTCCACTGGGTTTCTGTAAATCTAATAAATAAAATGGGACTGTCAAAACATTTACATTCTTATCCTCAAAAGATAAAGTAAATGAGTTGGAGGTGAGTGGAAAGAAGCTGGACGGAGTCACGCACCAAAAAGCTCACAGACCATGTGTATTCTTGCAGAGTATGCGGAACAATGGACTGAGTCTAGTCTTGCCTTTGCTACATGACTGGTCTATATATGTCCCTTCATCCATAAGATGGGCCGAGGATACAAGCTGTGTTTTTCTTAAGGACACACACAGGGAAATAATGTGACAGCTTTCTTCATTCCTGTTTTCCAGGCCTGAGCACCATACACAATGATCAGAAGATGTTGTTTTTAGTGGCCATCCAATCCACTACGACTCATAGTGACTCAATGAACATAAGACATGACCCTTGCTGTATTCTGTACCGTCCTTAAGATCTCTGATATGCTCAAATCCTTCAGTCACTGTGTCAATCAATCTCACTGAGGGTCTTCCTTCCTCTCTCACCAGACAGTATGAAAAGAACTGAAAACACAACAAAACAAAACAACACCAAAATGGGACCTACCATCTGTAGTGCAAGACCCCTCTGGGGCAGGTTTTTGTGAGTAGGGAATGGGTGGACTACTGGACTCAGACATTTCCTCCTCCTCCTCCTCATCTTCCATCTCATTAGCTGTCAGATTGTTAGAAAAATCTAGGCTTCCATTCTGCGTGTAGCGGTGCACCAAATCTTTATCCAGATCCTCCACTTTAGGTTTGACATCTACATAGACAAACAAAAGTAGTTAATTAAATTTTAAAAAAAAGGTTTATGGAAAAATAACCAAAATAACATTATAGTTCTGAAAGGTATACTTAAGGAAAGGGAGACTAGGGTCTTTAAACATTCCATCAATTACTTTCCAAAATCCCCAGACTTCTGGAAATCTGTGTGCTTGAGAAACTTGCCTGCAGATGGGAAAGGATGCTGGTCAGGGTCCAAGTACAGCTGGGAAAAAATTGGCCGTGGGACCACACTACTACATCTCAGCGAGGCCTCTATGGAGTTGTGGAGAGCTTCCTCAAATCGCGCCGATTTCAGCTGCCCAGCGTATGAATTCCCCATGGTCTGTATACCCCACAGACACCAAAGGAAGAGAGTGGGGAGAGAAAGAAAGTAGATATAATTAGAGGGTTGTGTCTGCAAGAACTAGAGACATTTCTTTTCATAATTTAATATATTCTTTATTTAGTATCTGTTATTTCATGGGTCAGTTCTTACTAGATGGTACACAACAATTATTTTACTACATATTATATATAGATAGATAAATTGGATTATATCCATATCTCTCATGTTAGATGAAGTATACTGATGAATCTTGTTAAGATAACTTGTATAAGTTGTCTATTACCCTAAGACTTTGAGGTTTGTTTTTTTGCTTGTTTTTAAGTGCAAAGGATCTGAAAAATTCCCTTTAAAGGATATTATGAAAGCAAAGAGGTATGTCTTGGAAAAAGCACCGCCAGAATGCTCATTGAGGGCAAAGAAGACAAAGCTTTGTTTCATATACTTTAAACATACCAATTTTCTCAGCACTTTTGTAGTAAATATCTAGTTACTTCTCTTTCTCTACTTAGATCACATGATTCTATTGAAAGAAAAAAAAATTCTCCTCTGGGAAACATGGGAGTTTGGGGTGTTTTCCCCCCCAGTTTTCAAATATTTTAATATTTTTCTTTTTCGTTAATTTTAATGAATGTTTACAAAGACTTAGGATTTCCATTCATTCATTATAGTATTTTTCTCCCTATCAACCTCTGCCCCCCTAATTCACTCTTCTCCTTGAAAAGTAAAACTCTTTCATTGTTATGCAATCCCTCCCCCCAAGTCCACTCCACTGTGCAGCCTTCATTCTGGACTCCTGTCATGACAATAATACCCAATCATATATCCCTTTTAAACAGTTCTCCCCCTCATCTGTTTCAATGCAGTATACATCATTCCTCCCCTCCTTCTCTGTCTTCCCTCAACCCCAATATCAGTCCCGTTTTACAACAGTGGTTCTATGCAATATTTGTACTTTTGTGACTAAGATATTTCACTCAGCATAATCTCCTCCAGGATCACTCATTTTGAATAATATTTCATGAGTTCCTTGTTTTTCAATGCAGCGTAGTATTTCTTTGTGTGAATATATCAAAGCTTCTGTATCCATTCGTTTGTTGATGGCACTTGGGTTGTTTCCAGCTCTTTGCTATTTATTTTAAACAAAGCCACAATAAACATGGGTGTGCATATATCTGCTTGGGTGGCAGTTGTGGTTTCTTTAAGGTGAATTCCCAGTAGTGGAATTGCTGGGTCAAATGGTATTTCTTTCTTTTTTAAAGACTTGACTTGATTTTTCTTTTCCTTTTTCTTCCTTTCTCTCTTTCTCTCTTTATTTTCTAGTAGTGTACCATCAAATTTCATCTCACTAGCACAGGAGGAAGTTGCCCCTCTTTCTTTAGCAGAGCATCTGGTGATTTGAGCTGCATGCCTTCGGTTTTGCAGTGCAGTTTCTTGCCACGAGGCCACCAGAGCTTCCCTCAAATGGTATTTCTATTTGCAAATTTTGGGGAAAGTGCGATACAGCCTTCCATAGTGGTTGCACCATTTTACACTCCCATCAACAGTGAATAAAGGTCCCCATTTATCCACAACTTCGCCAGCATTTGATGTTTGCTGTTCTGTTAAATTTTGCTATTCTTACTGGGGTGAGATGATATCTCATAGTTGTTTTGATCTGCACCTCTCTTAGAACTAGGGATTTTGAACATTTTTTCATGATCTTGTTGGTCATCTGGATGTCTTCTTTGGTGAAGTGTCTGTTCATATCCTGTGTCCAATTTTAAACTGGCTTATTTACCTTTATCTTGTTGTGCTGCTCGAGTATTTTATAAATTTTAGATGTAAGTCCCTTGTCTGATGTGTCATTACCAAATATTTTTCAAAACATGGGAATTTTATGGTCACAATGGTATTTACCGGAAGCACACTATTATTTGGGGCTCTTTCGGGGAAGTTTACAGTAGGACACTTTGAAGGTATGACGTTTTATTTCTTATTACACTTCATAAGCACTAGTTATTTTAAAATCTTTCTCTGTGTTATCAATAACAGTTCCTAAGTGGTAACTTTCGGCTAGATCAATTCTCTGGTTTTTATTCTTCGAAGCTCCTTTCAGGAACTTCATGAAATAAAAACTATTATGAAAACATTACCCTTTTTATTACTATTTGCATTTTTACTTTCAACCTTTCATATATATACACATAAATACATACTGTGGCATTCTCCAGAGGTTTTTGTGATACATGACTCTTTTCACTAATTTTTTTCTAGGAACAATTATTTTTTTCATGAAAATGCTGGGTTTTCATGAAATATGCTGCTACTTGGTTAAGAAGCTGTGTTGCCAACCCAAAGCATGGAGTTCAAATTCACCAGCTGCTCTGTAGGAGAAAAATGAGTGATTTACAGCCTCTGAAAACCCAGTGAAGGGTCAGGTGTCAGTCTGTTCCAACTTGGCAATATGTAATACAATGTTAATATAGATTTATTATTAATTTAAAAATTTATAAACATTTCAAAATGTCTCTGTTTTCATTTCTGGCACATATAACACATATACACAAAAGTTCTTTGGGGGCGTGCTCTGGTGGCCTAGTAGAAAGAAGCTGCACTGCAATCCCAGAAGTGCATAGTTTGAATCCACTAGATGCTCTGCTGGAGAAGGAGGAACAATCTCCTCCTGTACCAGTCAGATCTGATTTGATGGTACACACACAAAAATATAATTAAAAATTTTAAAAAAAAATGGGTGCAGAGACCAACAGCTTGAAAACAGCTAAGTTAAAAGAAGCACTTCTTAAAATTATCTTATTTAATCCTCAATATTCAGAAGTAGGTATGACCTCGTCCAACTTCACAGATGAAAAAAACCACCAAAAAACCAAGCCTTGAAGAAGTCAAAAGACTTACCCTCTAACACTCAGCTGGCATCTATGGGAGAAGGATGGGCAGTCTCCTCCCATGTGATTTACTGCCTCTGAAAACCTATGGGAGACTCAGCTATGGGTTGGTTCTGACTCAGTGGTAAACAACAACAACCACCCAACTAACTGGTAGGGACAGAGTCGGACTATGTGCATTATCAACTCCTTCCTGCACTCCAAGAGTATAGGCTCAATTTGGGTATTTCACTTCAGGAAAGGTAATTTTAAAAAATATTTCCTCCTCTATTCTCCCACCAGGAGGGGGCAGATACTACATTTCAGCTGAAATGTCAACTGTGACAAACTCCCTGGAGGGAGTCCCTGGAGGAGTGACTGAAAAGGGCTCCAGTCTGCACCTGGGCTCAGCAGGACAAGACTCTGTGCTGCATGCAATCAAGCAGTGATGACTCACCAGCAGGGACAGGGTGACGCAAGGCAGATGGCAAACCACAGCTCAACTTCCCCAGCCTACACACAAGAGCTCCACAGAAGATTCTGGTGCCTTAGGCTGCCTTTAAAGGACCCCTGGGGGTGCAGTATGTAATTTGTTGTGCTGCTAAGCAAAAGGTTGGTAGATTGAATCCACCAGCTGGATTCAATCCAATGGTGAAAGGCAGAGTCTCTTCCCGTCTAGATTAACAACCTCAGAAACCTGAGCGGCACTGGGTTTGCAAGCTCCTTTACAGCAAAGACGTCTTACACGACCCCAATAGCAGTACATAGTATACAGTCATCCCCTTCAGAAAGGCGAGGCTTAGCAAAACCTGTATTCAATATTCCCACAATCTGCTGAAAACGCCCAAATTTATATTTTAACAACTTTTCTCATAGAATGTGTTTAGAAACTAAAGGGATGTTTGACAATCACTAGGAACTTCACTTATAAAAGGAGACCTGGTGGCATAGCAGGTTAAATGTTGGGTTTCTAACTTAAAGTTCGGAGGTTTAAACCCTCATCCAAGTGGAAAAAGATGAAGCTGTCTGCTCCCATTTAGATCTACACTTTCAGAAACCCAACAGGCAGCTCTATTCTAGCCTACAGGTCAGGAGGAGTGGGAATCAATGAGCTGGTTTGGTTTTGTTTATTTATAACCCACCCCCAAGTGTAGATAAGCTACCCAGTTAAAGTTGTAAGAAGAATAAAAAATCAACAAAGTCTGGCAAAAGAAAATTTCCTAAAATGCCATGTTTTAGGCTAAGCTCATAAGATTCCCTACGAATATAACTTATAAATATTTAAATTTTCTAAAGCTTGAAAAAAATTGTATGTATAGCGAAACTTGTGAAAGTCAGAATTTAATGGTATAGCATTGTGTTTTCTCTCTTTGACATGAAGGAACCTTAGCAGTTTACTATCACTTGCTTGAGTGAAAAATACTTCATCTGTACCAGGCTTCAACTTGACACAGGTTTCAGTGTTCACAAGTTTTATTGTATTTGTCAACAGAAGCTCATAGAACTCACAGCAGGTAGGAGATAAAGAAAAAAAAACCCCATGACATTGAGTTTGCACCGAAGTAAAAACTAACCCAACAGCCATTTCACCTTTCTTCTTTGCTGAGGAGAGAAAACTACCAGAAACTATCAGGGGATTTCTTATCTATGGATAACAATAGAGTAACTTCAAAGGTGAACCTTTAGCCTTTCTCCAGAGCATCAATGCCTGGGAATCTTGCTGCTTCTTAATCTGTTACCAGTTCAACAAGTTATTCTTTCATCATTGTTGTTGTTATGTGCTACCAAATCAGAATTGACTCATAGCTGGCCCTCCAGCAGATTTTCAGAGACTGTAAACCGCACGGAAGAAGACTGCCCATCCTTCTCCCTTGGAGCAAGTTGGTGGATTTGAACCATGTACCTCTAGGTTCATAACACAGCTCTTTACCCTCTAGGCCATCTGAGCTCCCTTATTAAAGACATCTCTTCAGTTTAATAAAGAAGTATCAAATGATTCATGATCCCATTCATTGCTCAAGGAATAATGTGTTAAATATAGGCTTACAGGGTAAACAATACACTCAATTTTTAAAAAAATATGATGCCAAACAAAAACCTGTGAGAGCTAGCATTCAGCAGAACTGCCTTATT